TCCAATAACAAAATGAGCAAAAAGATGTGAAGAAACATCTCACTAAAGATTTACAGCTATAGCAACATACAGATATGTTTCCAAATAGCTAAGAAGGATCTCCCCCAACTTTCCTAGTTTTATACTGTGTACATTCCATGTTCCAGTGAGTAATGGGCGTTTGCAGCTGTTCCTTCCCATTTTGAGCCATGTCATATCTGCCAATGAAGGTCCAGAAAGCTGCTCTCCACCCATGTCATTAAGGCTGACTCTACTTTGAGCAGGCAGCTCTTCCCAGTTGTATTCTGAGTGCCTTCCAGCCTGAAAGGCTCATCTTCTGGCAGCATCTCAGACAATGTCCCATTGCTATTCATAAGGTTTTCTGTAGTCCATTTCTTCAGAAGTAGACAGATATGTCTTTTTCCACAGTCTGTATTATTAGTCTGGAAGCCCCACTGAAACCTGTCAACCATTGGTAACCTGCTGGTATGTGAAATAACAACCGCAAGCTTCCAGTATCACAGCAACATGCAAGTCATCACTGTACAAAGATGTCACTTTGAAGACTAAGGTGTGCCTGACCCAAGCTATGTTTTTTTAATAGCCTCATACCATGCAAAAGCTGGACAATGAATAAGGAAGACAACAGAAGAACTGATGCATTTGAACTATGATGTTGGTGAAGAATATTCTATATACCATAGACTGCCAGAGGAACAAATCTGTCTCAGATGCAGCACAGATGGAATGCACCTTAAAAGCGGGGATGGTCAGAGTACACCTCTCCTACCTTGGTCATGCTGTCAAGAGGGGTAAGTCCCTGGAAAAGGATATCATATTTGGGAAAGTAAAGGGTCAACAAAAAAGAGGAAGATGCTCTCCAAGGTGGCTGCAACCATGGACTCCAGGGTAGCAACAACTGTGAGGATGGAGCAGGACCGGGCAGTGTATCATTTTTTCATATTTGCCAAAAAATTGGAAGCAACCAGAACCTTCAATAGTTAACTGGATAAACACACTGTGGTACATCTATCAAATAAAGTTTTACTCAGCAATAAAAAGAAATGACTAACAAGCTACCAGAAGAGGTGGAGGAACCTGAAATGCAAACTGCTAAGTAAAGGAAGTCAGCCGGAAAAACTACACACTGTGGGGTTCCAACGAGACGACCTTCTGGAAAAGGCAAAACTACAGACACAGTAAGAGGTCAGTGATTGCCAGACGTTCCAAGGGAGATGGAGCACATAGCAATTTTAGGGTAGTAATACTATACCTATGACTGTGATGATGCACACATGATATGAAGCTTTATCAAAATACCCAGGACTGTAAAACACAAAAGAATAAACCCTAATGTCAACTACAGACTTTAGTTAAAAATAGTCTATCCATCGATGGGTGGACAGGCTAAACGATGAGGTATGTCTATGAAATGGGGAGTGTATCCAAGAACATATATAGGGTTGGCAGGCAACGGTCCTATAAGTTTATGTGAATGATCAGAATTCCCAGGTGTATAGTAGCGCTGACAAGGGGCAAGGTTGTGGTCACTGCTTGGTCACAGCCAGCTACCCAGAGGGACCGAGTAGTTGAACCTGCGGGCTTGGGACCATAGTGGCAGGGGACATCAAGCTCAATTGGCATAATATACTATACAAAACATTGTTCCACCTCCTACTTTGGCGAGTAGCGACTGGGATGTTAAAAGCTAGCAAACTGCCATCTAGATGCAACAATGGGTCTCTTCTCATCCAGAGCAAAGAAGAATGAAGAAAACCAAAATTCATGGAAACAATTAGTCCTAGCGACTGGTACACCAATCGATCTGCAGCCTACACAACTATGAGACCAGAAGAACTAGATGGTGCCCAGCTACCACTGTCATCCACTTGGAAGGGGATCTATGTAGGAGATTCTTGATAGAGAGGGAGAACAATGTAGAACAAAACTCAAAATCATTTGGAGAAAAAAAAAGGGCTGGGGACCAGGTTTGCTGGTCCAATAGAGCCTGTTGGAACCACGGAGACTATGGACCCTGGCTGCCCTTCAGGTCTGGAACTGAACCCACACCTGTGGTTTCTAGACAAACAAAAGACAGGCATATGAGTTGAACATTTACCTCAAGTAGATACACTCCTTGGAGAGAACAATCATGGGAGAAGGAAGGGCTGCTTATGCACAGGGAGACAGCTCAGGGTGCAGGAGTGTATGGAGGGATGGTCACTGGGAAGAGGTAACTATGGGGAGGAAGTGGGAGGGGAGCTGTTGCATTGTGGTAAACTGTGGTCAATGACTTGAGACAAAGTATATGTGAACTGTTGTATGGAAAGTGAATTTGCTCTGCAAATCTTCACCCAAATCACAATAAAAAATAAATAAATAAAAATAGTCTATCCATCTGAAACTAAAGCCACTCCCAGGGATCACCTTTCAAATAGCAGACAAGTGAATTATTAATACCTGTGAGGAGCGTACTCCTTAGAACAATCAACCACAGGAAACCAGAAAGGCAGCATTTGCCCAAAAACAAAGTTCAGAAGGCAGGAAGGGGTAGGAAAGACGGGCCAATGGAAACGGGGACCCAGGGAGGAAGTGGGAGAGTGTTGTTACATTAAGGGGATTACAACCAACGTCACAAAACAAACTGTTTTATCAACATTGAATGGGAAACTAATCTCCTCTATAAACTTTCACCGAAATCACAATAAGATGTTCAAAAATAATCATCATCATCTATCTATAATGATTCAACAATTTTAACAAATATAACACAGAAATAAAATGCAAGATAGTAATAGAGAAACAGCATGCAGGGGAGAAGAGATTTCTCAGTAAACTAAAAATGTGTCTAAAAAAATCTATTTTAAAGTATTATTGGATAAAATATCAAAGCAGAATGAAATGAATGGAAAGACAGTATACATTCTTAGAAAACAGAATTCAACATCACCAACATGTCAGCTCCTCCTAAATAAATCTACAGTCTTTAAAAAAACTCCACTAATTCCTAAACAAGATTTTCTTTTTAGCACTTAAGAAATGCTACCTTTACATCTCTAATACAGGAAGAACCAAACCCGTTGCTGTCTACGTGATTCCAAGGCACAGTGATCCTGTGTGTTACAGAGGTGTCCTGGTCCTTGAGGTTCTCATGGCTGTAGTATTATGGAAGCAGGTTGCCAGGCCTTTCTTCCATGGCAGTTCAAACTGCCAACATTTAGGTTAGCAGCTGATCGCAAACCACTTGCACCACAAGGGACCTACAAATCTAACAGGAAGAACAAATGTCCAAAAATAACCAAAATGTTTGGAAGAACAAGGTGGGGCCTTGTCTGACATACAGGAAGGATTTTAAAACTATACTAATCTGGGCAACAGGTATGACCAGGGAATGGGCAACTCGATCAAAGAGAAGAACTGAGTCTTCAAGCAAGATCCGTGAATTTCATTCAGGTGTATTTTTAGGCTTTGCACACATTATTAGTTTAAAATAATACAAGGAAATTACGCATAAGCAGTCCCTGGGTTAGGAATGGCCAATTAGGGATGACTCATAATTACCCTTTAATATAGACAATTGCTCTCATTTTGAAATGATTGAACCAATCCCTACTTGCAACATATTCTGCATCACAGTCACCTTTACTTGCTGCATGTGAAGCTTTTAAATCACTGAAAAGGCTTTGGCCTTTACTTTCACTGAAGTAAGGCTGACTAAGAACCATATGCTCCGGTTCTCACCCACATACAAACTCTTAAAGACACACCCAAACGGATCTCGTTTGTAACTGCAGACTGCCTGTAAAACTATTTCACTTTTTAAGAGTTTTTCATTTTAACTGGAATCCACTTTTCTACGTGGGAAACCTGGTTCTAATCCTCTGAACACTAACGTTCATAAAAGTACCCAGTATGAGACATGGAAGCTTTTCTCATCTCCTTGTAAACAAAATGGCACGAGGTCCCAAAGCTGTACCTCCCCTCTGTCCCCATGGGGAGAAGCCAAAACGAGTTGTTTATTTAATACATGAGGGTTTGGACACGATCGCATGGATTAATCCTTCTTAAGGATTAGCATAAGGCTTAACACACCTCATCTGAAAAAGGGGTTCAACTGCCTTCAGACTAGTACACCCCAAGCCAAACCCACTGCCAGCGAATCTATTCCAACTCATAACAACTTTATAGAACAGAGCAGAACTGCCCGTAAGGTTTTCAAAGTGATACATCTTGACAGAAGCAGACTGGCTCACCTTTCTCCCACGCAACAGTCGTGTATAAGAACCACCAAGCTTCCAGTTAGCAGCTGAGTGCTTAGCCCCTATCCACCAGGGCTCCTAGGAAGAGTGAAGTCTTTTAAATTTCAAAATGTTCAAGGAACATACAGAAAAACTGTCTATAAAACGGAAAGTGTATCCACAAAGTTAAATATACACCCATCACGTATATTGACACTCTCACCAAAAAGGAACACAATTGTTTGGCTTCAGAATTCTCTTGTGTTACTTATAGCTTCTCTCAATCTACTTACATTTGCTCCTACAAAAACAAAAATTTTACACGAACTGAGGAAGAAGATCATTTATCAAATGCTTACGGACTCACATCCATGGTAGCACTACTAATAATAAAGGCAAAAAGAGCAAACATTTGAACCAGTTTAATGCAGTTCACCAGGAACCAGCACACTGAGAGGGTTGAATGCTTGGCCACGCCTCGAGTGCAGACTTACCACTAAGATAAAGGCAGAAGTGTGAGCGAGTCCCTGTGGTGGAGGCTGGGGGACCTGAGCAGCCACAACACCACTCTGGGACCTCCACACACCTTCCACTCCCCTCCACGGCTCCAGTTCTTACACTAGACCACTGTACACTAGACCACTGTCCTCGAGTCAGCTTAGGATTCTGAAACACAACTGAAATCTCGGCTTCCTACATCATTTCTCCAAGAGACAGAACCTGAAGGAGTCTTCCCCACCTGTTCCCTTCACAGAGTTCACTACGCACAGACTACACTCTTACTGTACCAACGATGGGGAAGCACAGGTTAAATCCATGGTCTAGGAACAGCTCCAAGACAATGGCAATGACAGCCTTGGGCAGGGCATCAAACCCAAGGGTGTCGCCGTGAGGCTCCCCAACTCTCAAGCTCCTCTCCACACAAAAGGCTCTTTCGCTGGTGGGCAAGAGGAACCAGGACACCTGCAGGGGACAGTCCCCAGGAACTACCACCTTCACTCACCTGTCTTTTCTTCTTGGAGACTGGATCACTGTTCTTAGGCAAGGAACTAACCAGCCAAGATAATTCACTCACTTTGGACCACAACTGATATTTAAAACAAGACAGAGTTTTAAGAATACAGCAAAATCATTCATAGCCAATGCTTACGTATAAAGGTAGAAATAGAATTGTAAGAGTTTTTATAAGTCAATAAGAAAATACACAAGTATCTGCCCCTTTCAGAAAGTATAAAGAGGTCAGTTAACTATTACATACATGGTAACTGAAGTTTTGTAATTTCTGGTCATAGGATTTAGCACCAATCTCCAAAGTCCAGACCCTAGAGAACAGAAATGAATTTTCAACTCCTTCCAATTCTGCCCCCGCCCAAGACAGTATAATGTCCTGGGGCATCTCTGTATGTCAATAGTTTCTCTCACACACTGTCTATATAGGGGGGCAGCCCTCTCTGCAGCCACAAGGGAAAGGACATGTTCTCTCTCCATCTAAGATTCTTACTCTAGTAGCTTTTTCTCAGGGCTAAACCTGGAGATTCAACTGGTTATCACTGAAAGACAACAGCAGATCTGAGAACTTGACTACACATCCTCCTGGGAGGAAAAAAGTATAGAAGAATTTTTAACAAAAAGAATATAAAATTCTGTCCTTCCTAAAATTCACCCCTTTCTTGCCTTTTTGGAAGGAGCTCTGGTGGCACAGTGGTTAAGGCATTTGGCTGCTGACTGCAAGGTTGGAAGTTTGAACCCAGCAACCCGCTCTATGGGAGAAACATGAAGCAATCTGCTTCCATAAAGATTACAGTCTTAGAAACTCTCTGGGGCAGTTCTACTCTGTTCTATGGGGGCACTGTGAGGCGGAATTGACTCGATGGCAGTGGGTTTGGTTGCCTCTTTAGAAATATTTTAGGTTTCAAGTTCCATCAACCAAATGTATTTTATATTTACTGACAAACTGAGGATCAAGTAAGGAATAAGCCTTTTTATGTGACAAACTCAGACAAGGGAGGTGCTGAACTAGAACACAGACATGTCTGCTTCAAAGTCACACTCCAAATCAGGACACCCTACCACGTGGTACCTTGAGCTGTTCCCTGACTGGCCCCGATCAACCATGGACAGCGCTCTGCCCTGGGTTTGAAGTGCTACTCGCTTTCCACCTTGTTCCATTCTCCTCACAGGGGTGGCCTTATCCCATCACTTGTGAGAACCCAAAGGCCGGCACCATTTTCATCTTTTTCCTGAATTTACAGCATCTTGTCAGCTAAAAAGGAGCTCTGGTGGCATAGTGGTTAAAGCATTTGGCTGCTAACCAAAAGGTCGGGGATTTGAACCCACCAGCCGCTCCAAGGGAGAAAAATGGGGCAGTCTGTTTCTGAAAAGGTTTATAGCCTTGGAAACCCTACATGGCTGTTCTACTCTGTCCTATACGGTCAGTATGAGTTACAATAGGCTGATAGGAGTGGGCTTTTTGTTTGCAAGCTGAAGACTAATGAGTCTCTGAGGACTGAAAACTGGGGAGATTCCCCACCCCGACCTGAGGGGTGTGACTGGGGGGTCTTCTGGAAGGGCTGATAGTCACTAGATTCTCCAACAGAAATGGCAGCTGTGGGAGTCTGGGTTATCCCAAGGCACCGAGACGTAAAGTGTTCAACATACAGAAAACACATCTTTTATTAAGAGTCATCCATTACTCCTAGTAAAAATAATGAACAATTAAAGTCTTATAGAGTGTTCACAAATAGTTGACGATGTTGTAACTTGGAGGAGGTAAAGTGGCGTCTGGAAATGTAGAGAGGGATGTGAGGTTTGGGGACTGAATGTCCGACCTGGGCAAGGCTAAGAAGGGGCATAGGGTCGTGGATTTGGGCACTTACTGCCCACACCTCTAAGTCTTAGGGGAAACGGGATGTCCTGGGGGTCCCACCTACCATCCTGGTGGGCTTACCCCACCTGACTCTGTAAGGGGGTTCCAAAAGATACCTCAACTCAGGCCCCCGCAGACTGAGTTGGACCCTCCCCCCAGAGTCTGTGGGGGAACGCGGGGCTCCGGGCTGAGGTCGCCGCGCACAGGACATGACGCCTGGGGTACCTGCCGCTGGCTTGCTCGGCCATACCACACAGAGAGACCGAGGGCCGACTCCTGTCCACCGACTTGGGTCCGAAGATCCTGGAGTAGAAGCGGGAGGGCGGGTTTCGAATCGGCCCCTCCCCCCACCCCAGTCTCAGTAGACCGTGCCCCGCACTCACCATTTCCCGGCTTCCGGAGACCACCTGGCGTCCTCTTTGCGGGGACCTGGACACCAGGGACAGAATAGCGAACCCAGAGAACACTCTCACCGCGACCGCGCGAAGCAATGACGTCTCAGAGGGTTTGCTGGCGTCGTCCCGCCCTCGGGGCTCCTGATTGGGTAGTTTTCCAGGGTCCGCCCCGGCATTCCTGAAGGAACAAACAGGCTTCTCCCTGTGGTCGCTGAGTGACATGGGTCAGCCTTGGATTCTCGGCTAATGGGCCCCTCTTCCTCACGCCCCGACCCCGGAACGTCAGCGAGGCCGGGGCGGGCTCCGGCCCCTCCTCCCGCTCCGAGGTCTCCTGAGTCTTCCCCTGGAAGCCGGCACGCAAGTGTGGGCAGAGAGCTCCAGATTCGGTTTCCAGGGCGCTGACCATGAGTGCAGAGCTGGAGGGGCCCCCACGCCGAGCCGGGACCATAGGGCTTGGTATCCCCGAGGACTGGACTCTCAGGCTACCCAAGGACCCGCGGCCTATTTGTGACGCAGACACTGAGCAGTGAGGGCACGACGTGTGATTAAGCACCCAGTCTTCAAGGTGCACTCTGTGAAACTTGTAAATGAATATTGAATCGTCAGATGAGGCTAAACGAAACCCTCACAGCATTTAGATCAACATAACTATTAATAATAAAGAAGCTGAGGACAAAATTGACACAGTGATCAAGCCTCCGCAAACTCACTTTCTGGAAAGATGAGTGCTACTGGGGTGGAGGGGGGGAACCTCAATGCCATCGAGTTGGCTCCCACTCATAAAGACCCCTCCTTGGGTTTTCCAGGCAGTATCCCTACAGAAGTACATTGCCTAATCTTCCTTCCGAGTAGTGGCTGGTGGATTTGAACCGCTAGCTTTCTGTTTAGCAGTCAAATGCCTTAGGCACTACTCTACACTTGTTTAAAATTTACTTTATATAAAAATTTAACTTCACCAAGGGAAAGGCAATATATCAAAAGTGAGTGACCAACACAGTAACACTAAGGAAAAGGAAGGCAGAGAGGTATGCAAGAGGTACGGACAACAAAGATAAACACACACACACACATATATAATACTGCATTATCAGTAATAAATATTAATCCATGGGTGGATACATGGGTAGACAAGTTGAATGATCAGTTGTGTCTAGACAAAAGGAAATATACCCATGACCATTTATGAGTTTGGCAGATGATATTTCTATGTACATATTTGGGTGTGCTAGAAGAATGTACGTATGTGTGTGTGTGTGTGTGTGTGTATACATATATATATATGTTGTTGTTAAGTGCTGTCGAGTCGTTTCCGACTCATAGCGACCCCATGCACAGCAGAACGAAACACTGCCCGATCCCGCCCCAGCCCCACAATCCCTGCTATACTAGAGCCCATCATTGCAGCCACTGTGTCAATCCATCTTGTTGAAGGCCTCCCCCTCTTGCATCGACC